AGTTCTGTAAGACCTTGTTTTGTTATGAAATATATGCCCTGTCAAACGGGGAAAATATTCTGCTTCTCCTAACAGTTCATAGTCCAGCACGCTGGTTGTCTTGTGAATATACCTTTTGCAAAAGGAGGCTCGATTTCTGTTTCTTTTTTGAACTTTGCCCGCCACTGTCGCGCCTTTCACACTGTCATGACTGTCATGACATGAAAATAAAAAACAAAGAGCGGTGATAAATGTGACGGACCATTAGAAACCTTATTGGAGGGGCGGGGACGGGCGAAGTACATTTTAAACAAGTATTCGTGCAAGGCAAAATCTTCTGGAAAAAAAATACACGCGACAAGTAGCCCTAAACAATATTCCTAAAATTTAATGTAAAGGAAATAATAACGAGAAAAATTCATGGGGCTCTAAAAAATCCCCTCCCCAGGTCTTCGGTCTTCGTTTTCTAGACAAACGACAAAAATCAACGGATTGCATTTGAATACAAGGTGTCCCAAAAGTTCGTTCCTCTAATTTCTTGCGCTATAACTTTTGATCCAAACTTTATTTTTACATGAAATTGCTAGAAGATGTTTATTTCTCTATCGAGTACATCTATTCAGAATTTCAGTAACTGGCATGCCCTTTTAGTTTTTTATCACATTCTGTAGCCGCTGCAGCATGGAGTGGGATACAGCGTGCAGAGCCACAGATGATCCATTTTGAACTTTTCTATCACCCGGTCGCAGGAGCCAGTTCAACCCCCAAACAATATTTGTTAGTTTAGGCAGCTGAAAAAATATATATTTTGGGCATTCATCCAAAAAAGATAATCATCTCGGCCCCTTTCCACTGCAAGGCTTTTGCACTTCTTTACAAATTTGAGACGAGCTGGACGTTGCTTGGCAGACTAAGCAGATCGTTTTTTTTTTTGGCCATCTCAGGGTCTAATTTTAAAGATTCGCTTTTCATGATCCTCTCTGGACTTGGCTTGCTAATTACGTGAGAGCTTCCTCGTCGAGTCTCCTATTTTGTATCTAGCCTTCTTTAACACTATATATTTTAGCTGCTTTCTTCAGGACTTTTGGTCTTCCCCTTCGTTTCTTGCCTTCAAAACTTTCATTTTTCCATGATCATTTTACCACCAATATTCGGATTTTTCCAGATTTTTAGCAGTTGCTACAACAGATAAGCCAGTAAATAGAAGTGTACATTCTCACACGTAGCTGACCGTTTTTGCGTTAAGGGGGTATGTCTTTCGTAATATTCACAAACTTTGTGAATATTACGAAAAAGGAAGGGAGGAGTTCCGGTAATTCGGGTTATAAAATACAAAATTATGTGGCTGGTAAACATACTCGCGCACGCCCACCTTTGGCGCCCTAGTACACAAATCGAATATTCGAGTCAAAGGATGACACAACAAGTATGAAGATAGTGAATTAGACTGAAAGACACAACTTTTGATTAACTGATTTGCATACCAAGTCCAATCGTACTGAAATACAGACTTATAAAGTAGAGGAACGAACTTTTGGGACACCCGGTAAACCTTTAATACTCGTATCATGCGACTTTTCCCTTGATGAATAATTTAGACAATTATCCGTTTCGATTCTGACAAAAATAGCTATAATTTGGCACTGACTCCTTCACTTTACAATGTTCTTTCCATTTGTCAAGATCCTTTTGAGAGGCACAACTTTTGCTGAATCCAGTGGCAGAGTTTTTTCGCAAAATCGTTGTCCCTTTTTCGTCAATTTTATCTCTAGCTAACATACCAGGAATTATCACTTTTTTGAAATTTTGCACATTAACTTCTGGATGAGCTTGAATTCCAAACAAATTTTCCATAAACTGAACCATTTCATGTTCGCAGGTTGAAGAGCTCGCCAAACGTAGAGATTTAGCAGGGAGTGTTTCAACAAAATCTCTGTGGGACTCAGGAAGTCAAAAAGCTCTCTGAAAGCTTTATAGCCTTGAAAACAAAAATGTGCGTTAGCTTTGATCTTCTCGCTTTGCAGGACAAATTTCTTCGACGGAAAGGAAGTTACTTTTCCTCCTATTGCCGAGGCGATGACCTGAAGTCCAAAACAGAGGCCAACAATACGAGGTTTAGAAGGTCTTAGAAGGGTATTGGGAAGCTGTTCGGATAAATGTGTTCAAATCGTTGATCCACTTAAGGTCTTCGTTTGGAAGCAGAGGACTGACTTCCGGAAATGAAGAAGCCAGCGGAAGTATCTAAATCTTTTTCCGAAGGCAGTTCGCCGTAAACTGTGGAAAATATAATGCTATTATTCTTGGTCAGGGTTGCTCTTATTTCTGAAAACATCAATATATCGTTTCCCCATACCAATAACACCACCGAAGTTTTTATTGTCATTACAAACTAATACACCGTAGCGAGTGCGGTTAAGGACCAGTGCGGACCAAGTAAAGGATGATCCTTGACTTGTCTGCTGACATTTCAAAGATGAACAATGAAATGAGTTTAGATCTGTATTAAGCCACTCCCAACATCAGGGGAAAAGCCATGGTTTTACGCTCAGCGTGGGGCTGTGCGTGGCCGATCTGGACTGAAGCAATGAAAAATTTAACGCTTCTTACTTTAACTAGTATTATCAAAATTTCCCGTTAACCGGTTCCCAGATAATTAAAGATAGGTCAGTCGCATCCGGGTTCTTTACTTTTCTTTGCGCCATTTTCTTTCTTCGAGGATGGGTCAGTCGTGAAAATTATTGCTATACAGTAATACATCAAAATTTACCACCAATAGACATAAAAAATCCAGCTTATCTCGGCAGAGGTAGTGCGGGGAAAGCAAAGAGTAGTGTCGTCAGTTACTTGCTGATAAACGGCGAGGGCACAAACAGCCTGGGCTTGGAAAACGTGATCCGAGACAACTTCGTCCCCAGGACTCTTTTTCCTGCGCCCTCGGGACGAGGTTGGATCCGACACATAGGTCATAGGCCGCGTGGAATAATGAAACCAAGAGAGAACCCATTGATGGTTGCGATTAGATATAGCTTCAGATACTGTTTTGCCCTAAGGGTGATGCGACAGCCCTGGCGGAGGGGGTGGCGAGTGACCAAATGCAATTCACCTCATTACGCAATCCAGTGTAAAATGGGCATGTTCTTAATTATTGCATTACGCGCTTTTGGCGGGAAATGGTATTGGCAATCTGCTTTTTAGCGAGAAATCGGAAGTCCCGTATTAATCTAACGATGAGGGGCCACTTATTTGTTGGGAACTCCCGTACCTCTCCTAACTCTTCCTCGCCGATGACCGGGGCATTCAGTTTTAATGCAAGTGCAAAAAAGTAAATCTTAACCTCCCCGAGGCTAATGAGACTGCCCAACTTCGCCTTCCCAAGATGTCAACTCGAATTTCGTTGTCGTCAAGCTTAACGTCTCCAGGTTACACATGGCTAATCACTATTTCTGGCTTGATTTCAATTGGAAGTTTCGTCATCTGCCTGCGGTACCTCTACGCCCCAGGTGCTGAGCGCTATCCGCCGAGGACAAATTTCTATCTAGTTGATAAGGCAGTTGGTTTTGCGACTTCTTACGGATAAAGCTGCTTCATCCGCATTTTGAACAACCGTGGGCCAGGATTTTACATGTCCACTAGGTTTACATCAGTTACGTCTGCATGTACGTCCCCTAAGCCCCCCTCCCCCATCCCTTCATCCGCAGGAGAGCCGTGGGTTGTTACTTGACTTCGTTTCGTGCTTAGTTGTAATATCCTGATCTCCAGGGATTATGTGTATTCACTTCTACTGAGCTTTCAACTGAAATATGAAACTGGCTAAAATTGGTTGGAATGACGACTTATGACTATGAATTCCTCATGCTTCCCTCGTCTCTCATCATTCTCGGCCATTTCTTACCATTAAAATATATAGTCAGAGTTTTTGTAAATGCACATGTTCAAGACTTGTTAATGTAAGAATGCTGATCATAGAGCATTAGTATAGGCAATAGCGTGATTTGTAGAGATATTTGGCAAAAATACCACGAGTGATATTTTGAAATTTGAGACAATTTTGAAATATCGCGAGTGGTATTTATGCCTGATGTCACGTAGAAATCATGCTATTATTTGCTTATACTACTACCCACCACACGTTTGTAATTTTCACATGCAGGTATTTCAAATTAAGCTGAAATACCACTGCTCTAAGCCAATCAAATTGTAGAAATTTCTCACGTGGTAGTATAATAATGGCGCAGAAAGCACCAAAAATGCGCGCGCAAAAGAGAGGCATTAGAGGATGTTAGCATCAACAACGAGTACGAGTACGAGAACGACTTTAAGCCGTACTCGTACTCGAAGTCGTTTTTTCAGCTTTCTATGTTAGCGATGGAAGGCGAGTTCGAGTTTATAGAACAGTGTGGGAAATATCGCGTTCGGTTGCTTTTTCTCGACTTCAAAAGCAGTATTTTACATAAAACATAATATAAGGAATGTTCAAGATGATAAAGAGAGGCTAGAAACGAAAAGAAACTGCCTTAAACGATCGGAATTTACCTTTGAAAACCAGCTCTTCCCAGTCGTTCTACCCACTTCGAGTTTTTGGTGAGAACTCGTCGTAGTGCAACTTGACAGGACGACTTGAAAACGTGGAGATGCGCAGAACGGATGAGCAGTACGCAAAATCGCTGATCTCGTTCTAGAACTCGTACTCGTTGTCGATGCTAACATCCTCTATTATAAATTACACAAATCATCGAACAATAATTCTCGCGGTTGAGTTTTGCATAAGTGTGTTCAAAGTATTTGCATAATGTACACTTACAGGAATTTAAAAGAAAAAAATAATGTGTTAGAAGGAGAAAAGAAGACGTTTTTGAGAAGAGCGTGAGGTGCACAGCACAAACGTGAGTCATTTTCAGCGGCAATTGATGGATGGAAAACTTTTTTCCAATTCCATAATTTTTTGTTGCAAATGACTCACTCTAGTAAGATCCAATCATGCTCTGGTTAACAAACGCTCCGACTTCTTCCTTACCGGCGTTGCCTTCTGTTTTAAGTGCATCATCGTCGGACATTTTGTCACAGGGTTCAAAGTAACTGCGACCCCACTCCAACAAGCAGTAAATTCCTTTTTCCAGATCTTCCAGCCCATCAATGTTGGCGGCCCGGCCGGCTTTTCATTAATGGTAACCGATCAGAAGCAACAACAAAACCAAAGTGGAGCCAGGAAAAAGCGCAATGGCAACATCCGGGAGGGAAAAGATCAGCAGTTCTTTTGCCAGTTCTTTTGCCCGTTCTCCGCCAGTCAGAAGCAGGACTTATTTAGTCACCTACAACACTTCAATTTACTTCATGTCAACAAAAACTGAAACTTTGCTCCTCGCATACTCAAAATGACGGAAAAGAACACGTGCCGTGCTAGAAAACGCCCAACTTCAACGGGAACAGGGCAAATGGGCAAAATTAGAGACGTCACCTTGTTTACAAACATATTTTTTTGTTACTCAAATTTGAATCGAGCGAAACCAAAAAATCTTTTGTTAAAAGAACCAATACGCTGGGCATGCCGTTTATAAGATAGGGCACATTTTCAAGAGAATTATTGTTGATATAGGAAGGGTAGAAGATCAGGTTCTTGGTTCGATTTCGAAGCTTATACAAATCCGGCGTCATCTCCTTGTATTTCTATGGGGTTTAGGTTCATAATGTTTTGCGATACCATTGAGAGATGATGTCAAGATCGGATTGTTGAATTGAAGTACTAAATAAAACCTTTTGATTGAATTACATTATTTTACCCTCAGTGTTAAGGATTAGGTTGGAATAAAACATGAAATTTCAGTCAGTGATGCAGTTTCCAAATATTAAAGCGAAATAATTGTCTGAAATGACAATTCTTGACCTTTCTCGAGTGACGGTACCTGCAAACTAGAAACATATTCCTTTCGAAATGTTGTCGAACATTGAAGATGGCCTGATCATGATACCCAGGTAAGAACTTGCCCAGACGGACTGGCGGACGTACGGTCACGTGACTACCAAATGGGCGATTATTGGAGGCGAAACGAAGACTTGAGGCCAAGTACAATAGTCAAGGATGCATTATTGATTCTAGATGATTACACGATCAAGCCCTAAGGTCGACTTACTTGTCACACAAAACATCAGTCGAGCCTGGTTACTATGGAAGAGGATTAAGGGCTTATCTCACACTAGCCTGCGTAGCAAGCGTTTGCGTGCGGTTTCGCAGGCTTATTCCCACATCAAAATTTCTCGCATGCATAGAAAGCCAAATTTTCGTACCCATAGAGCTCCGCTACGTTTGCTTGACGCGAGAGTTCTACTAATACAGGCCGCGCGAGGGGAACACGCGAACGGGAGAGGAAGCCTCCTCCTTTTCTCTCCTCGCGCGTCCTCGAGATTCCTTCCTTCCCGCCAAAAAAACGGGCACCTTAAGCAGGCTAGAACTTGTCTAGTCCCTAACATGTACTGCGTCTTCCCATGCGAAGAACGTATTTTAGCCTAGATAACACGCGCTTTATGAGGCAAGCGACGAAAACTATTCGAAAAAAATTAACACCTAAAAGGTGGTCCCAAATATTCCAGTTAGACTGAACCGACATGGTCCGTTGCATTTGATTTCTAACCGAAATTTCCGGAATTTTGGGCTGAATGGAAAGCGGCCAAGAGTTTGGCTAATTATAAAGTAAACGTCAGGGAGAAGATATAGCAAATATCACGTCCGATGTAAGACTTATGCAACCGGGACCCAAATCCCAAGTCCTGCCCGCTGGTTCTGGGTACTGCCGAGAGGACAAAACTGCTCCCAGGGGTGGGAAAATGTAGGCAGTCCCAGCCATGAGCCTTGGGGGTGGAAATGAAAAATATCAAAAGGTGGAAATTTCAAAAATATCATCGAGTGTTGTGCAAACGCAGTTTCTTGTCCATCCACGGCTTATCAGACATTTAATTAGTTATTAAATATTTACGTTTTTTTGTTGTTGTGTTTTTCGATTTTAAAATGTATTTCGTTTGGCACCTAGTAACCTAGCAGTTTGCGTTTACATTGCTGGTTTAAGACACCTAAGAAAATAGGCCATTTTCAGGATGAAGCCTACCGAACTTCCATAATTCTCTTCGTTTGTGTTTCGCTTATTTAAATTTGTCAATCCCACTGACTAAAAAACAATAGCCCTATTTTGCCAAAAAAAAACAACAACAACAAACTGAAGGATTCTGGTAGTTGACGTCACTGCGCAATTGTCCAGGTACACACAGGCCACCCAGCCCTCACAACTTAGTCGAAGCCAAGTGATAGGGATTTGCATAGGAATTTCTGGTAAGATCGATAAAGCGGTTAAACTGCACATAAACAGCCATATAAGGGTACATACTTTATAAAGAGATGTCCTTTTGTTGTTTTCGTTTCTAACGAGGTTTCCTGCCCCTGGCGTACTCCCCATAACGGCCCATTTGGGACAGGCTCCGCACAAAGGGGGTACCTTTTTTAGGGTGTAGGAGTTGGTTGGAGTACATAAAAGGGTAGGAAAATCTGTCAGAGGGGCTAACGTAACAGATGCATTTTATGGCTGTAAAAAGGTCGAGGAAACTTTCTGGTTTTGTAATTTATTTACATCTAAAACACAGCGCATTTTAGGATCCTTTAGCAGTTAAAAGGGACGCAAAGTTTTAAACTAGGTATGGGAAGGGGGACCATTTGTCAAAAGGAAGGGGTTCTTTTTCTGTCAAAAATGGTATGTAAAAAAGGTAAGTGGCCAGACCTTGCGGGAGAGACTCCTGGTATAAAACTTTGTTGAATGCCCACCCCCCCCCCCCCCATCTCCTGGATTTTTGCCCGATAAAAATAAATTTTGCCTTATTAGTTCCTACAATAACGTTTTATTGGGCAGGAAACGGTAAGAAACCAGTGGGTAGCTCTCGCCATCAAAATTCCCCTCACCTCGGAGAAGTTTTTACACGCACTAAGATCTTTTAACTTTCCGATTTTTTTATTTGATGATATCTGAAAGAGCCCTAGAATTCTTTTATCTCATCAACCCAACCCAAATTTTCACTCAATTCTGTAATCCCCCAGGTGGATTATACCATGGTTTATATTTTTGGCATTCCACCTCCCGTGCATACTTTCAATCCTTAATCTCGCCGCCATTTTGCTCTAAAATCCCAAATCCTTGCTTTGAGTTTGAAAGGCAAATGCTGCATCACGAATATCCCCATTTTCATGTAAAAAATTAGCCTGAACTTCAGGTATCTCCCTTTATAAGCGCAAACTCCTGACTCGAGGGAACAGCTGAAATTCTGGCTAAATCAAAAGCATAGGAAATGATCTTAGACAGTGACAAAAAACATATTAAAAATATTTTTATTTATGAGTTCTTGATATTTTTTAAAGACCATAGCTGCATTTGTTGTAATTTTCAGTTAGATGACCACTATTATATAATATTGAAGAAAATTTAGGTAGAAAAATATCATTTTTTTGTCAATGATCTTATTGACTTATCTTATTGTAAATTATGGTTACATTATTGAATTTCTTTACCACCAATTGTACAATTTATACAGTACAAACATGACTAGACTATGATCACATTGCAGTATATTAAGAAATAGGCATGATAATCATTGTGATAAGAAAAATCATATTTATGCATAACAAAATATTGGCAATCTTGATTGGAAAAATTTTTTACACATTCTACTTACAATTTTTCATATAAAATTGCCAGGAGTTTCAATAACACCCCTCTGAAAGGGAGGTAAAGGGTGGTCTAGATCAAATTTGAGGGGGAAAAATGGTTCTTTCACAATTCATGAAAATAACAATCAGTGAGAACACAGTTCATGGCGAATTAAACATTAATATTTATTATTTCACAAAAAATATTCTGGAAAATCGTGCATCATGGCCAGAAAGGAAATCACTATTCATGATGAAAAAAAAGCTGATTGCAAGGCACGAAAATATCTTTTACCACCCCCCTTCGAGGTACTAGAAATCCCAGGGGGAACTCCTACGCATGAGCTGATGATCAAAAAGTACAATAGAATTAAAATACCACCAGGATTTTATGAAGCAACAGCCGTTGGTTTACAGTCATCTCTCCACCGATGATATCACCACCAAGACGTCGACTCACCACCAATAAATAACTCTGAAATAATTGACACAGTTTAATACCTAGGATTACTTAGCTAAGATTTTTACTTTTTTGTCAAGCTTATTCGAATTTAAAAGCAACAAAATATTTTATCAATCCTAATTGATGATCCTTGTGTCAAACGACTTATGCTCTTGGTAATGCCTGTGTAGGTTCAGTGAATGTAAACTTTGACATTTGAAAGACTAAAAAACAGGCAGAATGTTTCACAACCACTAGTTATACTTCTTTGAATTTCCCAGTGAAGTTTCCATTGCTAAGCTAACTTCTATTCTCAGTGGTGATTTTGTTGGTGGTGAGATGGTTTGGTGGCAAGGTGACCAGATACCTGAAGGTCATATTTATCCCACTGTACTAATCTGGGGTAGGGTAATTCCTAGTAATAGGCTAAAGCTAATGGGGATGTGCCGCTGGACAGGGTCACATTTTCATGACTGCATTGACTATAATGGGGTTACATTTTCAAAAGAGTTACTAGAATGGGGTCGCACTTTGGGATTTGGGGGTCAAAAAGTTTTATGAATCTAGGAATTTGAAAACCTAAAGTGTGAATTCATTTTAAGATGACCGACCTAATAGACCAGTTAAAAGGTAGATGTATAAGCAGAAAGGGGCAAAGCAGATTACATTTGCCCAAAAGCAAACTTAGAAAGATGGGGTCTATAATAATTGGCCAGACAATAGGCTATAATGGAGTAGGGGTTCTGAGAGGCCAGGGGCAGTACCCGGCAAAAATTGACCCAAGTAACCCCCTGCACCCTATGGTAGTATTAAAGTGTTATTTGGCGTTAAAATCAGGACATCACTGTATGAACAATAACAGGTGATCTGATTGTCCTAGCCAAAATACTTGATTACGCCATTTAATAGCTCAAAAATTATGAAAATTAATTATTAAGTGAATTAAATATGTGTGAATCTTTTGCACAGGTATTAAATGGCTTAGTCTAGCCGTCAGGGCAATAATATTATTTCCCTTTTCGGCGCCTTGTAATGACTCAAGTTCCGACTCCATCCGAAAGTTCCCGTTAAGTTGTTAATTGCCTTCTTTGGCGACAAATTTCTTCAGTGCAGCCGCCATCCTTGCTGAGTCTAAAGGCAAACTAATGGTTTCTTCACAAACTCTTTGACCATTTTCGTCTAACTTTCCTCCAGCTACTAAATCGGGAATTAACAATTCTTTGTAATCTTGCACAGTAAATTCTGGATGAGCTTGAATTCCAAATATATTTTCTGCAAACTGAATCATTTCGTGTTGGCAGGTTGTAGAGCTCGCCAAACTTGTAGCCCCAGGGGGGAGGGACGCAACGCAATCTCCATGACACTCAAGCAGTCGTAGAGAATCACGGCTCTCGATAAGCTCTCTGAAAGCTTCATTTCCTTGAAAATCTTCCACCGATTTGATCTCCTCGCTCTGTAAAACGAATTTCTTCGATGGATTAGCGGTTACTTCACCTCCAAGAGCGGCACCAATGAGTTGATGACCGAAACAGACGCCCACGACACGAGCCTTCGAGGGGCTTTTAGCCGCTGAAGAGATAAAATTCTTCAAATCATTGATCCACTTAAGGTTATCGTTAGCAGATCGAGGACTTCCCGAGATGAAGAAGCCATTAAAAGTATCCAAATCTTTTTCCGAAGGCAGCTCGCCATCTACAGCGGAAAAGATATGCCATTCTTCTCGATCGGGATCGCTCTCACTTCCGAAGGCGTCAATAAATCGCTTTCCTATGCCACGTACACCACCCCATTTTTCCTGATCATCACAAACTAAAACACCATAGCGACAACGCTGACAGTTTCCTGTATTTGATGACATTTGAAAACGATGAGCGACTGAGACTGAGATCCTAAACCAGTGGACAAACAACGGAAATGAACGAGGTGGAATGATTTTCCACATCAAAATTGGAATATCAATATTGTCCAAACCCAACGGGTTTTCTCTTCTTGCCCGAGGCGCCGAGACGTCAAATCGAGAAGTGTAAAGCAAAACAACAAAGCGACGCTTTCACCTTAATTTGCCAAACTAAACAATGGAATGAATATGTACAATTAATCCGCAACGACAAAAATGAGTATATGAAAATCGAAGCACTTCACACGACATAAACAATGTACATTTCGGTATAATTTACACAGGCCCTACTCATCTGTCAAAGGATTTTACCGTACTTTTTGCAGTTTTTAAAGCCTTCAAATGAAATTTATACATCTAAAATGTGTTAGAATAATCCTTTTAGCTGGAGATCAGACATATTTATCCGCTTGAAGGATTTCAACCACGCAAAATTCAGCTGCAATTTCCGATTTTCCGGTCCTTTGTTTTTAGCCGCCATCAAGTTTGTACCCCTACCCCACCCTCTTACATTTTGTAAACAATGGCAAAGTGAGGTTCCTGTCGACGAAGATAAAATACTGAAATATCCCTTTAACTTAATTAGACTAGAAACCGTTTAGCGAATGGTCATCAAGATAAGCTAGCGCCAGAAAGATATGAAAAACAACGCTGGTCGAAAGGCAATTACTTACCCACACCTGGTGGGTACTTTGTTATTGTTCGTAGAGGGTATAGCATTGCAATGGGAAATTAGTCATAGGGCTAACCACGTGGAACATAAATAAGTTTTGCCGCCATCTCTGACAGTTCATTTCCCATTCGAATTTTTGACGTTCGGTTGATCTTCGAGACGATCGAGTTCATTTGGTGACCCTATAATTTATTCGTTATCTTTTCCAAGAGTTTCCCTCTTGCTTTAATACCGTTCTTAATGTTGGACAAGATGAATGACAGTGCAGCTCCCGTGCAAATCAACGGCGATTCTATGGAAAATGGTACTGAAAATGGTCACCATTCCAAGACGAACTTGATCATCAACTATCTACCGCCTTCAATGAAGGAAGGGGAACTCAGAACCCTGTTTGAAGAATTTGGCACCGTCTCACAGTTGAAACTAGTTCGGGACAAAGTGTCTGGGAACAGCCTTGGCTACGCGTTCGTAAATTATGCCGACCCGGAGCACGCTTCAAAAGCGGTACGGGAGCTGAACAGGCTGCGAGTTCAGAGCAAAAACATCAAAGTTAGCTTTGCTCGTCCGTCGTCCGACGACATAAAAAATGCCAATCTGTACATTAGTGGACTGCCAAAGACAATGAATGAGCAACAGCTAGAGATGCTTTTTCAGAAATACGGCGAGATTATAACATCGAAAGTACTTAAAGACGAAAATTCTCTGAGTCGTGGCGCTGGTTTCGTCCGCTTTGACAAGCGCTCTCAGGCACAAGCTGCGATCGACGCTCTGAATGGAGAACAGTTACCGGGTGAAAGTCCCACAGAATCTTCAAAACTGACCGTAAAGTTCGCCAATCCTCCAAGCAACAAGCCTCAGATTCCGTTTGCTTTTCAATCACCGCTTAGCCTAACACCTCCACAAATTCGTGGAAATGTAAGATCGCCATTCACTGCCAGCGGGGTAGGACCTCTCTATCACCAAGGCGCGAACTTTCGCTACTCACCGCTCACGTTTTTGCAGAGCCCAAACAACAACACTTTTACGCCGAATGCACTCGTTCCGGGTAGTTACTGTGTATTTGTGTATGGCTTGCCTTCGGATAAAGACGACACAGGGACAGCTAAAATTGATCCAGAGAAGCTTTTGTACAAACTGTTCGCAAAATACGGCGCGATTTCCGATGTGAGAGTCAAGAAGGGCCAAAACTTTGGCTTCGTTAACATGCAAAATTATGATGATGCTCAAGCAGCAATCGCCGGGTTGAACGGTCAACGGATTGCCGGGCACGAGGACAAACCCCCTCTTCAAGTATCATTTAAGACGCCAAGCGTTAAGAAGCAATAATATTCAAGCTCTTAGAGAAAACTTGAATTGAAATCTGCGAGGAACATTCATCGATCACCGAGTGCCAAGAAAAGATGGCGAGTCGACCCCTCGCCCTTCCGTTCACGTCAAGCTGCTACTGACAAAATTTTGATATTTCTCCCCTTTTAAGTAAAAATTTCAGAGGTTTCTGTTTGATCTTTAAACTTAGTTTAGTGACCGAAAAACCGATTTTTGCCGGCCGGCGAACGGTTTTCTACTGTTGAAAATAGTTTAAAAATTTAGATTTTACTTTGACGCTGTGTGTTAATTACGAAGGTAAATACAAGTATGTCTGTTCACGGTATACCGGAATTCTCGAAGATCAGCTGGCTTTTAACGATTTCTTCGTTATAGTTTAGGCCAGATCTTTACGTTTAAAACTAAAGTGTTTGTTTGGTAATTCGAGCTTTATTTCTCTTCAGAGTATCGAACTTTTTTTGTGAGAACCCTGTTTCCACTTGTTTGACAGCTTGGTATAATAGTCGTCGTTCACGATTTCTTTTAGTTCAATCTTTATTATTTACTTTAATGTATATTGTTGATTTGTTGGCGGATTTTCGCTCTTTCCTCAAAGGATCGAGCAGGTTTCCACCTTCGTTTTTTCTTTCATTAAATTTTTCTTCAGTGTATTTCTGTGTTGGTAATTTTTTTGTTGTTTTGAGTTGTTTTGATCGTAATGTTTTCTGCTCTGTTTGAACTCATTTCCCCCTCCGAGAGCCATTATAAAAGACAGTCGAAGAAGACGGATAAAATTACTAATTTCATTTGTTCAAAATATCGATGATTGGGAAAAAATTCAGTAGATAACATTCGAGAATCATTCGTTTGATCAATAATTATTGATTTCACTTCGTGTCGAATATTTTAATTGTCAGTTTCCTTGGGGAAAACTCTATTTATTTTAGTTATTTTTTCATTCCATAATTTCTTGTTTTCATCTTTTTTATCGTGCCCAAGGGATAAATATTTAGAATGTAACAGAGTAAACCCACTTCAACAAATTTCTCCGTTTATACAACTCCTAGCTAGACAGCTACATAGCTATTGGAGTTCAATTTACTTTCGCTTCTGTGTTTATTTTCGCAGTTTCCTAATTAAGGCTGTAGTTTTTGTGCAAAATATCAAGAAGGGAGATTTTTTAATTGAGAGGGATTGCAAACAGTGATCCAGAGGAGGAAAACGCCGAAATCCTGGCTGGAAAAAAAGACCCAAGATTCAGGAATATGATTGAGGTAACAATGTCTTTAAAAATTGATGAATACACTAGCCGCAAGCTTTATCGCTGAGGCGATCAAAGATTACGTTTGACACGCCTGATTGAGTTTATTTTTTCCTTAATTTAATATTCCATGGACCTGAAGAATATTTCTATCGGCCTGATTTTGGTTTGATGTGCATTGGTGAAGGCTGAGACCAAATCTTTGTCCAGGGAAATTAGTTTCTTAAAAACAGCTGCTGTGCTAAAGAAGGTTTATTTCATTGAAATATTTACAGGTGTTGTGAGGTCCAGTTTTTGGTCCAGAAAAGAAAGAAAATGAAATTAATGAATCTATTTTGACATTATGGTATAGGGTTAGGTCTGTTCAGATATGTGCTTCTGATTGGCCGAAAAAGAAATTTCACTAAAATTACTGCTTTATTGTGTGAACTACTTTCCTTCCAAATTGCTGCTGAGGATGAAAACCAATAAATATTTAGGTGAGAAAAACCTTAATAGAAATTGTCTGCCCGAGTAAATGAAAGAAATTCAGAGAAGAGAGTGATTAAGAAATATTTTAAGCATTAGCAAGATTTTGTGTTGTACTCTATATTTATCCCTTAATGGTCGTCTATAGAGATTTTTATGAGAAAAAGATGCTATTTGACAACTCTTTCAAATGTTCAACCATAACCATTAGAACATGCATATAACCTTTCGAGATGATAAAAAATGGATTATACGCAGGCTTTGTTACATATCTTTTGAGTCTGTTGAAGTCTTACAAGTTGTAGAGAGAAACAAACTGAAAAATTTAAATCATTAATAAGCTTGAGGACATTTCCAGTAAAAAATAAGGTGTGTTCACCAAAAAATTTTAAAACATCATTTTGCTAGATTTAGAAATCCACTTCCATCCATTAGGATCTTGTTTGGACTAAATCACAGCAGTTTTGAAGTAAATGAAACTCGTGAGCAAACTGTAGGAACTTTTTAGCAACTGCTGTTTTTCAAGTCTATTAGTACATATTTTGGTAGGAAAAATTATTATGGTGAAAGCAGTTTTACAGTAACAATATTTAGACTGCATTTCAAGCACAATGGATTGTTGGAAATTCAACGGCCACAGCTAATAAGATTACCAGGCAAATTAAACTGTTTGGTAGATGTCAGTTTTTTTTGTGCTCATAAAACAAATCTGACTTGGGGGAGCACGTGCTCAAGATGCTTAGAGGTATGGAATTTTCAATGGTAACCACAGAAACTCAAATATATATTTTAATATACTGGTTAATTTTCATCTATGAGAGTAGTGAATACCAGGGGGTCACTACAAGATCTGTTTGGAATTTATGAGAATCCTTCTTCCTCAAAAAGCAATATTTTTTATTCCAACTTGGGGCTCTAAACTGTCAGAATGCAAACTGCTAAACTAAGAGCTTTATTGGCCAGCCAGTTTACAATTTGACAAATGTTTGGTCTAGACACATTTCAATCAATAAATGATTTTAAAGGAACTAGAACATGGACACGTACTGAAAAAAACAGCTGGTGTCTGTCAATTAGTGGGTTCGTGCCCATTTCGCCTTCATAGTCAATATGCCTGCCACATTTTAGCGAAGCAATATATTTTCCAAAGATGGTTTATACATGTTTGATGTTATGTGATATCCAGGATATACTTTCCTAAAACTCAGCAGGTCACTGACGAAAAAAATTCATATCTATATATGTTTTCAAGCGATGACAATTTTCATTTATATTCAAATCCTGTTTTTCCTGAGTACTTTGTATTAAAAATCCTTTTGGTTTATATTTTTATCTGTTAGTTTATCCTTCAGGATCTTTAGCTCATGAAGATCGTAGATTTGGCTACAAGTTCAACTACCATAGGTCATAAGAAGGTGTTGCTGGGAAAAAAAATTCAGAAAGATAATGTGCAACTTGCTCAAATGTCCATTTTTGTGTTATGTAGGTGTGTAGGCAAAAGAATTCCTCACAGATAAGATAAGGTGTATGAATATTTATGGCGTAAATGCAACAAAAATGTGCTCTTTACTTTGTTTATATTTTCACTTCACTAAAGCAATGCAATTTGGATTCAACAAATTCCAAGATATCCAAAATTAATTCTCCTATGTTTTGCTTTCCCTTCATCATTTTCTACCAAAAAGGTTTTTTACAACACTATTGTATTCTAATCATTTTAAAGCAGTGATCCCAACACTGTGTTTTTCTCCGAAATGATTTTTTTTAATTTAAATCCATCATGCAATTCTGTTTTCAGAACTAAATTTAACTGTGAAGTGAACTCTTGCTGTGCTGTGTTCATAACCAACTGACAAATTGTGCCAAATATTCATTTCACTCACAGAAAACATCACTATTATATTAGAATTATATATTGTCAAATTTAGATTTTGAGAAGATTCATGGACAAAAATAAGCATGTAATAAAGTGAATTCAATGTAAAACTTTTCTGTCCATGTAGTTTACATTATTGCAAAAAATCAAACATCTGCCTCAGAATAAAGAAAATAAAATGTAAATTTTGTCTTTTTGTAATCTCACACACTGATATTTTGAAGAAGGAATACATGTAAATGAAACTTAAATGGCAGTTCTTATTTTCTTCTTTAAATTGTTAAACTATAGGGCAATTTTCTGAACTAATTTTTGATTTCCAAAGATTCTAGCTTGAAGCAAACACGGGCTAGCAACAGACCCAGGTAGTAAGAGGTGAAATTCTCCTTTCATCAATTTAATTGACTTCTGAAAAATTATTGTTATGAAAATTTTCATCTTAAAATGTAATTGCTTGCAGTGTAGTAATTGTGGCACCAAATGTGTGAAGGTTTTCAGGTTCCTTTTGAATTTATTCAAGGCATTAGTGTATTAGAAAGACCGAACAAAATTAATTCTTAAGATATCTAAAATATTCGGTGCTTGAATATTTTGGTGTGAAAAATAACCTTTGTCTCAAATTGACTATCTTCCTGTTCAGGAGTTTTTGAATTAAATATTCATAGAGTGTAAATTTTCTTTCATCTAAAGCTCGACCCTATCACCATTACCAAAAAAAAAGAGATTAAAATGAGAGATTTGTGTGATAGCTTTCTGTAGAATGTACCCCAAAATCCCTTTGGTTTTGTTTTGGTAAATCTACCTTTGTGATAACAATACACTTGTTAGTGTCAAAGAAATAATTTTCTCTTCCTGCTATGAGATTCAGAAAATAGTAAAACATTCTCTTTTGTTTGCTGCACCAACACTGATCCTACAGGGAAATTTAAGTGAACACAACAAAATACTCTGTGCAGATAAGAGTTGCAAGCCTCAGTTTCCTGATAAATTTACACACAAAAAATTATAAAAAAAGACATCTTGAGCCATTATTGAAAGAAATTGTAAAAAGAAAATGTGTGCATTAAAAATGCGTTAAATATATTTTCATATTATGCAGCAGGTTTCACTTTGCCTTGATGCACTTTCTCAATTTTTGGGTTATTATATTTTTTAACGTAAGGATGGTCTAGCTGGTTTCTAGTTTGCGGTAAAACAAAACAGACATCTTCATGGAAGTTGACATTTTTTAAAAATGTTTGTGCATAATGCCCAGTGGCAATTTACGCAGTTTGTTGAAGCACACAAAAATGGTTAGAAAATGAAGCATAAAATGCTGTTTTCCTTCTTAACACTATTTCTTTGTTTTAATTTTGGCCCATTTTTGTTTTTACCTTTTAGCTGTCAGAAATGAGTAGATGTGCATTGAATCAGAATTTCATGTCTGTGAGTTGTCACTCTGTTTTAAATGATTGTTGATATAAACTGTAGGCAGGTGCCAAAGAAAGGATCATTAAGCCCTTCACCTACACGAGTGCTGAAAAATCAGGAAATAAAAATTTAAATTATTCTGAAAAATAAAGAGCTTTCTTTTGGATGATAGCATCATGACATTTTTTCCAACTATTTAAAATATTTTTCACTATTCAAAAAAATGTCTCCATAACTTAGTTTAGGTAAAGGTAAATAATAATATTATATTTTTGTTTTTTGCCTTGAATAATTATTATTGCTGTAGTCTTAACACAATCAAACCATACTGTGAAATTAGTGAAAAAAAATCCAAAAATGGAACAGGGAAAAAGAGCAGAAAATGTGGATCTAAAAGGGAAAATTTAGTTGTTTAGTTACTGGTATTTTATTTTTGGCTATAATTAAGTACCCTCAAATAGCAAACAGACAGCCCTTGATATTAAGGTTGGGGGTTTATTAATCATGTACAACATCCTCAATCACAGGATAAAAATTTCCTGCCTGTATTTGTGAAATTCCTTGGGTCAACATTTTGTAATGCATAGCTTGATAGTTTGGCTAAGTAACTGACAAATGTGGAAACCACACCTAAAAAAAATTATGTACTGAGATTGTGTTTTAAAAGGGTCAGTTTCATAATGTCCTAGAAGAGGCAATTGGAAAATTAATCCCATGGCAATCAAAACATCCTCTGGGGTTTAATGTAAACATACTGAAATCCCATAAGAGCATTTACTTCAAATCCACTTTAACTGTGTCAGAACACAATTAAATAATTGACCCCAGTGATAGCCTCAGAAAATGTTCTGCCACTTTGTTTTAAAAAATCACCTGGGGTTATGTACAACCATTTCAAATATTGCCATTCAATTCTGCACAAGATCTTTTGAATGACATGCTATCAGAAAGTATCTTAAGCAGAAGTAAACAACATCCAAATTTTGTTTCCTTTCATTAAGATCATGGCAGGTATCTGCAGAGATTGTAAACAAAGCAGAGCAGAACTCTTTTAAAAAAATTACTCTCACTGTCAACTTACCAAGACGAAGTTATGGCAAGATTATTTCAATTGTTAACTTTTAAATGCATGCACAAACTTCTATGGTTTTACAAGGAAACCTCTTTAAAGGACTTTCACATAGTAGAATTTTTTTTGTGAATTCTTTCTCTGGCATCATTAGCAGTGGAAGAGTTAACTTTTGCAAATTTTTTGTCTTATACTTGGGAGGTCAAGTAGGAAACACTTGACAAAATGTACAAATAAGACAGTAGCCTAAAAATTGCAAAAAAATATTTTGCAAGAATAACTTTCTACCAATTTTTCCCTTGTTATGAGGATATTAAAGTGCCATTGGTATTGATCAAGTAACGCAGATGCTTATAAAACAACTTGTTTTCTCTCCAAACCCAGCATTTACAAAAAACTAACTACCGGTATATATCAATCAGGTTTGTTTGATTCCATGTTTGCTTCAAGATATCATAAAAATGATTGATAGCTATGTTCTATTTTCTCCTGCAGTCCATTACTTTTCTTCATATATAACAAATTGTACAAAAGGCTAATGAACATTTGCCACTATCCATTTTATGATGTTTATTCTTGGAAAAAATGACATTGATTTAATAGCAGTGGAATATTTTGAAAAACTGCATGAAAATAAAACTCATCAATGAGTCTGTAAAAGCACTCTGCATTGTTGATTTTCATTGGCTAAGAATCAAGAAAGAGAAAGCTAAGGTTATTGATATTGACAGTAAGACAGGAAAAGATGACTACAATTTTAAAATTTTTCATGATTTTATTTTATTTTATTTTTTTCTTATTTAATTTGTCATTAATAAATCACTTGCAGTGATCATACATCTTACATTTAAAATGACAGTTTCACCCAGGTTTAGGGCGTGTCTTTTTGGGAAAATTCATGAATACAAAAATTGTTTTTCTTTCTTCCTTTTTTAAAATTCCAATGAGAGATTTGGAATCTACAGAATCTATTCTCAAGAAATCTTCAGTATATCGAAAATAATTATCAAAAAATAAATTTCAAAATAACATGATCTGTACATTTTGTGGGTATGCATCTTAGAAAATATATATAAAAAATATGTATGTGGCAAGCAGTTTTTGAATAAAAATCTGTGACCCACCAAGTTTTTTATACTTCTTGCCATTGTTGCTGTCTCACTGACAAATCCATTTAAAGATTTTTTGGTTTCTTTCCTGCATGGTATTGCCCCTTTTGTACATGTAGCAACAATGGTAGCTAAAAATCTAGCAAAAGTATTAATAAAAATGGCAGCATTTCATGCTGTTATTTAGATCCACCATTTCTTAGTTATCACACACCTAAACTACAACCATGCAACAGGATTCAGAGTTGCCCCTCAAAAATTCCCCGACTTTAACTGACCTTGCATTAGGTGAATAATATATAAAAATTCAATCCAAGCTTATATTTGCTAGCCTGTATAACAGGTGTTATTTTTTCAAAGACGTGTGAAGGTGTGCGAAGGCAAGCGTAAATTGAGTGAGAAGCACAGACACTGCGCCTTTCCCCATCACGTGTGTCTGGTGCTCCTCACTCACTTCCCGCTTTGACTTTGCTCGCCTGAAAATGCAAAAAATAATGCCTGTTATGCAGGCTAACATTTGCTTGCTTTTTTTGTAGTCCACCAATGTCCCTATCTTCATTTTCAATCTCTTTTGGCTTTTCAAAGTATTCCCTGACTTTTTCCTGCCCTTGAAAAATAAAATTTTTGTTTTTTCCTGATTTTCCACTGACCATGGAAACCCTGAGTGTTGAAAGTAATTCACTGGACTATTTATTCATTATGATTATTTTTTTTACTAAATTAAATTACTGTGGAACCCCGCCTTATGGATACCTTGGTAATAATTATGGTCACCTAGTTATTAAGGCCACTTTTTTTCAGCCTGGCAAAATGGCCATACATGTTCTCTCAGAAAACCCTCGTTAATGTGGTCACCCATTAATACAACCAATAATTTCACCTTGTTTACTGGTATATAGCCACTTGTTCGAAATTTAGAAAATTAAAATGCCTATGACATGTCAATTTCACTGATGAAGTAAGCTGAGCCCGGTCTTAGACTACATACACTTAAAATGCATTAAAAGAGTTTCATGAGTAGAAAGAAAAGTTTCAAGTAGTTTTTACAATTACTGTACTTGATATCTACAGTCTGGTTGTTTATGAAAAAGATCTGGCCTCAGTTGTTCAAAGGCTGGATACCTCTATCCACCGGAATGTGATGTATGATGTCTTTGTCATTAAGGTCCTTGTTATGTCATGAAATTTCACCCTACCCTGGTAATACAGCCACCCTGCTAATACGGCCGAATATTGTTTTGACCCTTTAGTGACCATATTAATGAGGTTCCACTGTAATTTATTATTCTTACACATCATTGTCCATGGAAAGGCATACCCCAGATCTTGGATATCGTCCTCTGTTTTCAAGCACGCTGCCAGGCGAGCAGATCCATGGGTCACTTGTCAGATTTTGCCAAGCTGTCAGTTTGTGAAACAACTCCTTAAACACATCCTGAAAAGCAGGATTTCTAATCAGGTTTTTCAGCTCCTTGGGATCAGTTTTCAAGTTGTATAATTCCCACTGGTCACGATAATAATACTGATGCAACGTACGAAACCATCCAGTGGGTTTTCCCTCCTCTGTTCGATTCAAAAGATCTTGATATGTTGGTGACACAAAGAAATCCTGATCGATGGGAAACGGCATCTTGTAATTTAGATTGTGAATCAGTTTGAAGGTTCCATTTCTAATGACTCTCATTGGATAATACATTGTGACTTCGTGTAAGTTGTGACTAGCGAACACAGTGTCCCATCCTGTTTTTGGTTCCTGCTGTAACACTGGTAATAATGATTTTCCAGTCAGTTGTACATTGTTGCCCAAGACTTTGTACGAGGGGTAATCAATATCAAACCAGTCCAGAACAGTGGGTACTATATCCAAGAGACTCACTGTAGCTTCACTGATATCACCCCAGCGTCCAGGAGCGTATGGTGATGACACAAGATAGGGCTCTGCCATCCCTGGATCAAAAAGATTAGTCCGTCCAGTCGGAAAAGGGATACCATTGTCGGAACTGTAAATAACTAGCGTGTTGTCGTCAAAGCCTGCTTGCTTTAGTTCATTTAAGATCAAACCTATACCTTGATCAAGACGACTGATTGTAGTGTATTGTGCAGCAATGTCTTGTCTGGCAGCAGGCGTGTCCTGAACAAAATAAGGAACAATCACTTCCTCAGAGGAGTAGAGAACAGGTTTCCAGTCTGGTATAAGCCCCATGCCAGTTTCTCCATTTCCAAACTTCTCACAAAAATTCCCTGGAAAATAATAAGAAAGGAGCCTTGAGTCTTTAATAGATAACTTTTCTCCACTAATGCCTATGTCAAATGATCATTTCTAGCAGACGTTTTATGTGATGCTATCAAGTGCTAGTCACTTATCATGGAGGTCATTTGACGCCTTGCAGTTTTCAGTTTGATCTGGCCATGCATATTATTCATCATTAATTTTCACTCTTACACAAACAGGCACTGCTTTTTGAGACCTATTCATCACAACTGGCATTCAGTTTTTGTCTCCAAATGAACAAAAATGTCATATCATCCCTGCATTGTGCTGACTGTTTTCTTATGACTGTTTCACTGAGAATTAACCCTGAGTGAAATGTATGTGAAAATTAAGTCTGAAAAGGTCGATTTCACACCCTTTTCACATCTATTTCACAATACATAATTTCACATCAATGTGAAATATGCATGTGAAATGCCTGTGAAAAGTATGTGAAAAACATGTGAAAATAGGCCATTTTATCACCTTGTTTTCGCATGACTTTCACACATATACTCCTGGCAGTGGTTTTACATAAACATTTTCAGCCAGTTATTTAAACCGAGTTTAGGCTATGTTTAACAAAAACGCATTCTATTATAAAAAAGCTATTTTCAGTTTTCCCAATGCTTTTGTCTAGAAACACCATTTATTGTAAACAATTTCAAGACAGAAAAAGCACTTATTTTCTGAAATTAACCCTCTAAGTAAGATATCTGCAGATCCAATGATTTCTTAAACCATGGCCTAAGTTAGACTTCATTTAAATAACTGACCCTTTCTGTTTCTCTACAGTGGAACACACTGACAAAGCAGATCAGGGACATTACCATATTCAGGATGGGTGTGGCCACATCGATGAGGGTCATGGAAACCGATGTAAAGAAAGAATGGTCGCTTGTCTTCCAAGGATCCCTGAAGAAACTTCCGTGTCAATTCCTTTATATATGTAATGTTACGACCAACTTGAAGAATGGAATGGTGATCTTCTTCTGTGTATGAGAAGTCAAAAGGATACACCTGCAAACAGATTAATTTTACTATCAATGAGCACAAGTCAGTGGAAGGGGGCGGGGGTGATAGGGTTCCTTGGGTGTGTGCATGCATCCCCTCCTAACCCATATCAGGGCTTTCATTAAGATTTTAACGCAGCCATTTGCACAACAAATGAAGATTTCATCCATCACATCTCACAAAAAAAAATTTTTGTGTTGTTTTAAAATTTCTAATTATTTGATTAGCTGTAACATCAAGTGAGCTCAGCTGTAATATGCCAGGTGTAATTAGTTACAGCCAGGCCTGTCATTAAGAGGCGGGGGCCAGGGATTTCCCCTGGCTACTAAGAACATAGCCCCCCGTTACTTTCATAGGAAAAAGGAAAAAAATAGAACCAAAAGAAACCACTAGCTGTCTGATTCCCCGCCTACTTGTTGTATTTACCCAGCAACTTGAAATCTTGGTGAAAGCCCCGGTTACAGCCCTTAACGACAGCTCAGCGACACTCCCTTCATCTAAACATTAAATCCCCAGCTCCCTCCCCTCAAAAAATGCAAAAGCCAGAGCCACCACTTTGAACTGTAAGTTACAGCCACAAATAATAAAAGACACAAATTAAAGCTTTTTCTTAATTCAGTTCTTTCTCTTCAGGATGCAAGCTTCTAAAAAACGGAAGGCCAATTGATTGTCTGATTTGCATATGGGTGGTCTGCTGACAACTCTTTTTTTACCCAATATCCACAATCAGACTGCAGATCTCCATGCATTTCCTTAAAATATTTGTTAAGAGAATTTGATAAAAGATCAAATCATACAATACAATACTAAATAATTAAACAAGAGATAGAAAACAAAACAAAAGATCTCTCCAAAGGGTGAGGTTATCCCTAGTATATAAAAGACTCCCCAAAATAAAAGAGAAAAAAATGTAAAATCTAGAATCTAAAACATTATACAGAGAAAAAATCTAAAAACTCAAAACTTGAATAAAAAACATCATTATTTTGCTTATCATAATAATTATTGAAACTATTTACAGTCATATTTATTTAAATAATATTCATAAATCCTTATTCTGTTGCATAATAAAGTCAGCGATCCTGTGTGGACAACATATTTAGGCAAGTTATTCCACACATTAATGATCTGTACAACGAAAGAATATTAATTTTGTAGCAGTTTAGGGTGGCAACTTTTACATAGAGCTTATAATCATGATTGGCTCTATCATTTTTCCTTTGTTGATCGTTTTATTAATTCTCACAACTGTTTCTCTTGATGATGTATGGATGTAACACGGAGAAAATTGATGTTGGTCTCCCTTCAGGGACCTAAAGGGTTACAATCCTATAAAGTGTCAGAATGGTTTAAAGTAAACAAGGTTTCAAATCCCATGATAGAAAACTTATTAGCATAAACAAGCTTTCGCCCAATATGCTTTTCTTCTAACATATCAACCGACAGGCTGCTATGATGTCACTGAGCTGTTGACATACCTAGAATTGATCAAGATGTCTTTTGAGCAACATTTGCCTGGATACCTTCAGAACATCTACAAATCTTAAAAGCTTGATTGTAAACAGGTATAAATGAAAAGGAAGACTCACTGATTCAGGGCCCACGTGTTTCTTGCCTATGATTCCAGTTCGCACATTTGCCTTCTCCAATAACAGAGGCAAACTCCTGACTTCATCAAATGTGTTGAAGTGATGAACGTCATGATGAAGTCCATACATTCCATTCTGGTGCTGTGGCAAACCTTGAAAATAATCACTTTGACACTCAAGCTCACCATTTAAATACAGTGAAGCTTTGATATAACAACACTAATAGTATAACAAACATTTTTTTGTTCCCCCATCATAATAGTAAAATAAATGGGTAATACCTTGATTAACCCCAATTTTGCCTAAATTCAAGGTCTTTTGACCTCATTTCGCAGACCTCTTCTGTTACAGAAAGCAAAATGAACAAGTAACAATGATTCTTAACTGAAATTGACGACTTATTGATGAGATCAAGCAAAACTAACTACGAGATAACGACTGGAGAACTGACAATTTGACTAACAATAGACGACTGTTTAACTGTGACAATTAACAGACAGATCGAAATGCACCAATTACTGATTACGAGTCTTCATAGCCAATAACATCACGGCTTAACGGACAGACGACCAATAACATCGCGACATAATTGCCCAGTCAGATCAATAACCTGAGAGTATGCCATCAACTGACGTGATACAACTCACTTTGACTCTGAAGATGACTACCGCACAGGTTGTAGAAACGTCAGTCACTGGCAACAACAACAGTCCTATTCAGGACTACGTTCACCCAGACGATCACACTCAACCTACTTTTGAAATGACTCCTGGGTTCAAACCCTTCACATTTCAATTTAATTTCAAAGATATATAAAGCATCAATCTCAGCAGTTTCTGGAAAACAGTGACTCTAGGTCTAAGATAAGGATGGATTTTGGCAGTTAACTCTAGGATAGGGTACCCTGAGAGCAGGTGCTTTTCGATCTTCCTATATATGTTGGGAAGAGGAAGGGACCCTCTTCTTGACTTATCTAAGAAGATTGAAGGGCCTCTGACCTCAGGGTACCCTATCCTAGAGTTAACTGCCAAAATCCATCCCTATCCTAGGGTAAGGATAGGGTAGCAAAATTCAGTTAGGCTTCCAGGGTCCTAGTGGCACATCCCCATATTCAAAAGTACCCCCCCATAGGCTGTATGGGGCGATCTTGTTATGTTTATGATACATTACAGTTTTGCATTCGCTACTGTTCAAGAGTTCACCTGTTAGTATGGCTGACCTGCTTGGGGAACAGCTACTCACAGAGGTAAAAGCGTTCCTAAAAATGACACTTCTCTTGGCCAGTTTGTTTAGATTAGGCGTTTTGCATACAGTGTTATTGTAGACCTGAGATTCGAAGCCTGCATCGTCTCCGATTATGACTAAAACATTCTTTTGCTCATCCAAACTAGCTTTCGTCGGAGCAGAGGGTACAATCACGAGAAGAAACACCACAAAAACACGCACCTGCAGCCCTCCGATTGCAGCCATTTTTTGCTCTAATTTTTTTGCTGCGTTGTAGTTTAGAATCCAGGCTCCCAATCTAACAACTACACCCGGTTACTGAAGAGAACGCCTTGTATTTTTTCGCTCGCGAGAGGAGTTTTCGCAAACAACACGTGGAAGCCGGCAATTATAATCATGGCAGGGAAGATTAAGGTAAAGGTAAACTTTTGTAATACTTAAATTAATTTATATAAATTAACAGTTTTAGTTTTATTCCTTCAAAAGACTTTCAAAATGCCACTTGGAGCTTGTTCTAATGTCAATCATCAGGTCGAATCAGTCTCTCCTTTAAATGAAAAACAAGTGCTTGAATCATATTGTTACCATCGCCGGATTACATTCAACTTTCATCTGGTTGCTAAAAAACAAAAAAATGTATAGCACTTTGCCCCCCTCAACTGTGAAATAGGCCATTTTACAGTTGTGTGCTCAGTACCCTGGCCTCTGAATAGAAGCGAGGATGGCGGTGACCTTGTTTTGTTACAAACCTTCTTGTTTTTCATATGTAAATGATCATGTTCACAGGCTTGTTAGCCAGCGAATACCACAATTTGCACATGAAAAGCAGGAATGGTTTGTAAGGCTGCGTGCAAACTGACGCAACAACTCCCAACAATGTTGGGACCTGCAGTGCATCGTGGGAAGGATACAACCCATAAGTCTTTGTAAACCATGCGTAATGAGTGTGCGTGGCCCCAACAATGTTGGAAGAGCTGTGCAAACGGATCCAACATTGTTGTGCTACGCTTCGGCGATCGCGGGACAAAAGAAATGTTGGGAGTTGTTGGCTGAAAAGTTTAACCGGTTTCAAACTTTGCGCAACAACACGCAACAACATCCAACAACATGCAACAGGGTGTGCAAACGGATGCAATATGTAACATCCAACAATGTTGGGAGTTGTTGGCCAACAATGTTGTCATTTCTGCTGGGTTTTACAGCCATCCCAAGAGAAAATGAAAACAATGATTATTTTTGCAAAATTTGGGGGTGCAAATGAGGTGCATCATGGGAGATGTGCAAGTGGCGTATAGAATTTTTTCCTCGAAGAATTTACATGAAAATGGAGTTTAGTTCCCAGAGGAGAGCAATGCTTTTGTTCTTGACAACCAACAAGGCAGCTGTGATGTCACATGCAAACCAGCAATTCATGACCTTTTCTAATCCTTTAAAATTTTATAAGCATTGCTGCACCTATCATCATAGCATAGGCCTATTTTCATTAGTTACTAGCTATAAACAGTGTTTTGCAGTGTGCACAAGTTTGCCCTCCTGCTATCATAAAAATTCCCACCATGAGTGCATACACCTACATAATTTACAGTACATAGTAATAAAGCAGGGAGATGTTAAGTGTGAGACAGATTTTTTGATGGAAAATCTACCTTTGATAGATTGGAATTATTGGTGGTAGTGGAATGGATGACCCTGATATTTTGGAAAACAGGCAAGAAAAGCATGTGACAACACCATATGGAAAGGTTTGTTGATTTAATTCCAGTATTTAATAAGTGAGTTAACAACTGTTTTATAAACACAAGTATTGCCCAGGCAGGGTTCTCAAGTTGACTGCAGATATGAATATTTAGGAAGTGTCCTGACTTTCCTATACATTATTATCCCAGAGCCATGATCCACTTTTTTGGCTCAGTTTTTTGTGGTCTCACTTTTAGTCCTGGGGAACAGGTCACTTGTTTGATCCCAAAAACGTGTTGTGAACCCTCTTTATATGAAGCAGTGGATCAGAGGCTGAGGATACACTTTTTGAAAATTTAGGGAGGTACATGGTGTAGTTCTGATGTAAAGTTATTTTGCTTGTAGCCATCTGATGTTTTGGTCCTTGGCAAAATAGAAGGAGTTGAATGTGTTGTGTTAGCCAGGTGAGTGCCTAACTACAAACCCCCCCAAAATTCCCTGCTGGATTTCTGAGCCTTCGAAGTTTCCAGAGGGTTTTAAATGATATAACAAGAAAAATACCATCAAAAAAACGTACTTCTGACTCAAGCTACCCAGAAGAATACTTGCCAAATTTTCCTAACCGGAAAAATCCTGGAATCAAAATTTCAAACCCCAAAAATCTTTTGATCATCCCCATCACTTGAAATCCGTATTGAAATCTGTATTCAGCAGACATGGAAGAAAACATGATGTCATGCCTACAGATATCAATTATCGTGCAAATATTTATGCCCTAAAAGAAGAAGGTTGTACTCATGTTGTTGTGACATCAGCCTGTGGATCTTTGAAAGAGGAGTACGAGCCTGGCCATCTAGTCTTTCCTGATCAGTTTATTGATCGGACAACCAAGAGGGTTTCAACATTTTATGATGGTAAACAAGGCAGTCCCAAAGGAATTTGCCATATGCCGATGCATGAGCCATATTGCCCACACACAAGAAAGGTTTGTAGAATCCTTAGTTCCTATTAAGGCCTATTTTCAACTAAACAGTTCTACTATAGCAATAACATTATTATGCACTTGTGATAACATATAAACTAGCTTTGCAGACACCTTGCTGTTACTTATCTACTATTCAAATGGACACCAACTAAATCTCTGGCAAATATAAATACAGCAATTATCTCCTGCTAATAATTATAGAGTCTCACTTAATTTTGACGACCCTAACTCAGGATACTGAGGGCGTCGTGCTGGACCAGGAGTTGACTGTAAATTATGAATTAAAATGGTTGACCTCCCAGGTTAGCTCAGTTGGAAGAGTGTTTTTGGTCTGCTGGGCAGGCAGCCTGGAGTTAAAAGTCTGGCCAAACCAACAACTATTGTCTTTAAAAAACTGGAGAGATATATTATGCTAGCAATAATCATGTCATTGGGTAGTGACATTAAAGCCATTAGTCTTGTCTCATCTGTCCGTACTGCTACACATCATTTGGAAGGGAATGTAGAACCTGTGACATGGTTCAAACAGCTGGTCTATCTGACTGTCGTCATTGGTCGGGGTGAGATAGGTGAGATCAAACATAGACTGAAGTGGTGGCTGCATACATGATGACATCCGATCTCTCCTGTCCGGTCCCTTTGTATCTCAGCCACAGGCTGACCAGGAAAACTGGTTCCATTTTGACAGGGTTTTATCTGTTGTTTTAAACAATCACCTCCCTTGAATAGTCGCCCCCTTTGACAGAAATCTTTAAAATAATCACCTCCCTCGAATAATCGCCCCCCAACCCCTCTCGCCCATTTCTCTTTCTTTTATCCCCTCCCTGCTCAAATTGATGCCTTGGATGACCAACAATTGCTGAAGTGGAGTCTGATGGGCACAGCAAAACTGATCAGTGATGTAGCTGTAACGTCGAAGATACTAACATTGAAAATTATCCAAGGAACCAAATTTGGAACATTTATAAAGCCCATGTTCAGTATGCTTGATGTGATTATTTTTTTTATTTAATGTTATAGTAAAACAAAATACACATATTTAGGGCATGACTTCCAGTGAGCAATATTCAAAATAGCTGCCTCCCACAAATAATAGCCCCCTTTTAATGCAAAAAAAAAGAGTAATCACCTCCGGCTGTTACTCGAGGAAATACGGGGAAACATATTTAGCAAAGGCTTTTTTTGCCATTTTTTTTAGATTCTTACTGAAGCTGCCAAAGAACTGAAATTGCCTCATCATGAATCAGGCACAATGGTTGTTATTGAAGGCCCCCGCTTCTCATCCAAGGCTGAAAGTAGAATGTTTAAAATGTGGGGTGGAGACATTATCGGTATGACAGCTGTTCCAGAAGTTGTCCTTGCTAATGAAGCTGGTCTTTGTTATGCCTCTATTTCTATGGTAACTGACTACGACTGCTGGAGAGATGACCATGATCCGGTAGGTTTTTATGGTAGTGCCAGCCTGATGCTTCTGTTATGCCTGAAACTAAGTTCTCCATTCAAAAGATTATTGTTTCTGAGGATTAAAAGGTTTTGGTACTGTGTTACTCCCATATTATATTTCAGCTCTCCCAGAAAAGGTACAATTCTCAGTCTCCCGCATGGGTCACCATATTTCTCCCCCCAATTTTTTTTTGGCATCTCCACATTAGAATGAAGCTGGGCAAAGGGCAAAATGCACCATTTTTCCATCTTTGATTTAGAGGGGGGCGGGGGGTCTAAACTTCTCATTTATTTTTGTTCATGATTGCAGGTTCCCCCAATTCTCCATATTATATTATGCCAACTCTCCCAGGTTATCCAGTATTTCTCCTGTATAATGCCCAAGCCCTCAGCATTTGATACCCCCAGCTTTTAATCAAGTTTCTGTAGAATGGCATGGAGCAATTTTTCCTCAGCTTTGGTTTGATACAAATGTTTAATATGTGCCTGGTAATTTATTAAAATCTGCAACAATATTCTGTTGTTATTACCTGTTACTTAGGTAAGTGTGGAAGCAGTTAAAAAGACTTTTAAGGTCAATGTTGCAAATGCCAAGAAACTTCTGTTAAATGTTATTCCACGTATTGCTTCTGAAAAGTGGGCAGAAATCACCAAAGAACGAGAGGTATTAATATTATTATAATCTACTTTATAGGGATAATGGGACCTATTGCTGTCATATTTGTCATATTTTGTGGTAAACTTAAGTCATATTGAATGCTGTTTCTATAGTGCCCTAAAATTTATGCCTTGTAGTTTTATTTGACACTAACTTCTTTTTACCATAAAATATTTGTATCAAAATGATTTGAGAAGTTACTAAATTATCAAAAGAATTCATCCAGAACTGAATGCATTCTGATCTTATTGACCTTCTTTGATAATGATAAAGCACTGATTTTGCAGAGAGAAATCTGATGCTTTTCATCAATAAGGTTAAAAGTTGATCATGAACAGGCTGAATAAAATAGGCGTAGAATAGTCCTTTTACTAGAGATGATGAGTCTCTCCAAAAGTTTAATAATTTGAAAAGGTGCATACATAATATTTTAGCCCACCAAAGATTTGACTTTTTAATAGCCGTCCTGAAATTTCAAAACTTGGACCTTAGTCATCCTAGGAAATCTTAAAAGGACAAAACCTGGTTCATTTTGTAATGTTCCTCAGTGATCATTCTTAAACAAGTGGTTCCAGCTTTGGTACAAGAATTTAAAGTAATAATACTATAAATTAAAAAAACAAATATTATCAACTTATCATAATTAATTCTTATTTTTATTTTTATTTTTATTTTTGCTTTTTAGGCTGCTGTCACAAATAACATAATGCTCCCTTCAAGCTGATATATTTTTGTAGGGAATTAGGGTTTCCAAAGTCACTTTTTATAAAGACATAAAACATAGCGCACAATGCACCCAACAAAGGAATCAAATAATATTGTAGATGTTAATGTGATAATAATTTTAAGTGGCCAAATTATGTAAAAAGGGTGTATACTGTAATTTAAGCCATCACTGAACTGACACTGTTTATATAATATTTTCATACATATGTAGTCTCAATGGATTTGGCGTTTAGTTCCCTAGAGGGGTCTGGACTCCAACTACATAAACCCCTTGCCCTTGCAGACTTCAATATCAAACTTTTCATGTACACGAAAAATTTGAAATTTTATTCAATATTATTACTCTCAACATATCTAATTTTCGTTGACCCACAAACTAATATTGAGTGGCCCATATGGAAATTTTAACTTACTGAGGAGAAGCCTGTTCCAGGCGTTCAGTAAAGAGCATCCGCTTTGTAAAAATACGAAGTTCAAACCACAGGGCGCCCACACAATCTGTGTGTGTAACCAATTACTATTTTATGGTAAATGTACTGGATTTACTGTTCGTTTGCTGCACCTATAGTGTTATATCATTAATTATGCATATAAATCAATGGTAAATAAGGAGCAATTTCAGAATACCCGGCAACATCATTTACATTTGTCGGAACGCTTTAGAGAATGACATATAACACAATAGGCACTTTCGTTATTCAATGAGGATTTTGAGTTTGCCATTTAGGTGAACTCAAACTCGTTCATAATAGCTCAAAAAACCGCTTTTGAGGCAAAAGGATGACAATATATAACAGGTAAGGTAATTCAATGCTTATTTTAACATTGATTTATTTACATACTTAGCAATATATCACTATGGGTGAGGCAAACGGTAAATCCAGTACATTTACTATAAAATAATGTCGATTACACACACAGATTGTGTGGGTGCTCTGTGCTGAAACAAAAGCAGTCTGGTGAAAAAAAAATAGGATAGAGTGCCTCTAATCTCCCACTGCTTGTAACTCCAGCTGCCACATGTTTTCACACCAGTTGTCATGATAGCCCCCCATGCAGACATTCTTTATAGGGCTTCATCCTGCATTCCTTCCTTGGCAAAGGTTGCATGATGAGCCAAAAGAACGTCTGTGTGGGAGGCTACTGTCATGAATGGGGCACATACCATCCTGGATCCTGGAACAGACTGGTTAATACGGAATCTGATGCCGATTATTTTAATTGAATTTCAAACTTTGATGTAGATTTACACTGGTATTAACCAAACGTTTGAAATTCTGCCAAACAAGACAAAAAGGAGAAAAATATGGAAAAAATAAAGCATGTGAACATCAAAAATGTGTGTCCATTATTACTTATATTATCTTGTTTCCCTCCTGTCGCGTGTCTCGTCTTCTCGCCTCAAAGACCGCCTGTGCGCCCCTTATGTTTAGTCACGCGTTTAAGTCACGCGTTGCGTGCCCTCGGTGACCGCGTAGGACTGAGCGAAACATGTGCTTCCATCATCTCCGGGGGGTGTGCTGGACATTTGTAGCGGTTGAGAAACTGTTGATACATTTTCCATGTCTTTGTGGGGACTGCACTGTGTTTTTTGCTGATAAATGATGGCTGAGTTACTTTCTTCGAATGGTATCACTAACGACAGAGAAAAGAAACATGTTATCGTTAACTATCTGCCAGGAGACATCACAGAAGTTTTACTTCAAGCCATGTTTGCTTCTTGTGGTGCTATAACTGGAGTTCGCCTTATGCGAGACAAAAGCGGAGTTAGTCTTGGTTATGCGTTCGTAAACTACAACAATGAAGTTGACGCAGCGAGAGCTATTGAAAGATTTGATGGGCATCAAATGGGTGCTAAAAAAATACGGGTTAGTTATGCTAGGCCATCGTCTGAGGAGATCAAGAATGCGAATCTTTACATCGCCGGTTTACCGAAATCTACTAGCGAGGACGAACTGAGAGCATGGTTTAGCGTCTATGGGACTATAATTTCTTCAAAGGTTTTGACATTAGAAACTGGTGAAAGTCGTGGCGTTGGTTTTATTCGTTTTGACAAGCGCTCCGAGGCACAAGAAGCAATCGATTCCTTGAATGGTAAAAATTACTAGATGGAACTAATTTGGTTGTTCGCTTTGCAAATCCACCGAAAGGAACCCAAACGCCGCAAGTATCTCCTAATATATCGCAGGGCCCGATGGTTGGAAACGAACCTCTAAGACCAGCATTGAATCACGGAGGAATCGGCCCTATTCGTCACGAATCTCCAAATCACCGCTTCTCGCCTTTCGGTCAGGTTCCGCCACGACCAAACGACATTAGACAACCTTTAAACATGAACTCATTTCCCGAGCCCCAGAACTGTCCTTGTGTCTTCGTGTATGGCTTACCACAACAAAAGGAGGACAAAGAACCTTTAAATGAGTTACTTTTGTATCGTCTGTTTTCCCCGCACGGCGCCATTTTGTCCATACATGCAAAGGAAGGCAGTGCTTATGCGTTTGTGAACATGATGAAATATGAGGAAGCCGTGAAAGCAGTTGGGAACTTGAATGGGTATTACCTTCAGCAGCATAACACACATCTGCAGGTGTCATTTAAAAAGAATAAACCCCAGTAGGTAGGAAAGACGTTACCGTTCACCGCAAAGAGCACAGACGCAGTGCATGTCACTCAGTTGACTCGCTCACACTGTTCATGTGTTCATGATAGTTGAATAAGCCTGATATTACTAACCCCAGTTGGTAATACAGTCTTCTGTCTCTCAACGGACACCTCTATAAGGCGGACACCTCTGTAAAACGGACACTCAGAGTTGGTCCCTGCCTTTCTTTACTTCCTTTATTTGACTCTCCATAAGACGGACATCTTTCTAAGATGGACACATACTGCAGGTCCCCAAGGTGTCTGTCTTAGAAAGAGTTGACCGTATCTGCGAGGCAGTGCCAGATCCTTGTTCAGGGCCCCCATGGACTCAAATAATTACTGGAAGTGCATTTCGAATTTCCCTTCACCTTGATTGGCCAATTGACAATGGCTTTTTTAACAGGCCAATCATGCCACATACTTGAATCCTGGCACAAAGGTGTGGGCCCAGGACAAGGATTTTGGTACTGTTTTTAAGGCGAACTTAACCAGGCCCTGGTTGTTCTAACATTGGATAGCACTATCCACCGAATAAATCACTACCCATCAGTTAAGTATTGTAGAACCAATTGTGCTATCCAGTGGATAGTGATTTGCCCAGTGGATAGTGTTATCCACCTTATGGACAACTGGGACCAGAAGTTTAGTTTTGTATGTGGCATAGCCTATAGCTCTCAGAATGTGAGTGTCAGATACTGTATTTCCTTGAATAAGTGCCCAGGTGCTTATTTCATGTAAAGTAATTAATCAAATAAAGGATGGGTGCTTATTCGAAGGAGGCCGCTTAATCAAGGGCGTGCTCGTTACTTTTTCCTCTAGATGAACTAGAGAATAGTCGAGTTGTTCCTGGGAAGTTTATGACATTTACCAAGAGTGCGGCAATACAACAAACGTTAAAAGAAGAGATAACACATATAAAGGAACTCTGCAAGCACATGGATAGAGAAATAACTGAAGGAAGAGAAACATACTATTCTCCTTTACTAATCCCGCTGTAGTTGATGCCTAAAAGGTTATAACTAAAGTGGTAATAGAAGCTGGTTATTCTTGTATCCCTACTGTTCAAGAAAGTGAGGGGGAGGAGAGGGGGTGCTTCTCTGATATTATGGCCTTGAGGGTGGGCACTTATTAGAGCATAGGCCCTTATTCAAGGAAATACAGTATTATCTGACACTAAGGTTTTGCTATCATTAAAGCAGAAACTGTCCCAATTACACCATTGCAAGCACTGCAAGCTGAAACTTTATTTGGATGAATTAATGCTTTGAGTGCGTAATACAGTTATATAACAATGATCGGTTGATACCATGTTTTGACAGCTGTCAATTGATCATAACATTGATGTCCAATATCAAGTTTAACACCAAAAATTTGTATAAGCCTCAGACTTTTAACCTTATAAGACATTTCACATTGGCCAACATGACAGGGCAGATGTACCTACTGATGAATTTTGTCACAATCAAAATTTTTTGAATGCATAGATCACCAAATTTTTTACTTCCGCTGCGCGTAAGAACACCATTATGGTGTTGCCATTTAAATGAGGCCTTGTTAGCAGAACTATTGCATGGTACTATTTGGAATTTTTGCAAATTTCTTCAGAGTTGCTATCAGGACCAGAACTGAAAAGGTTTAAGCATACTGTATTTCATTTCTGAGTGCTCAAATAGTGAGTTTGGGTTGCCTGTGCTACTTCTATAAGAGGTTTGTTAACCTGCAAGTTAGCGCAATTATTGCGCTAACTTTTGTATCCTTGAATAAGACATAGCTTTTAATCTGCACAAGGGAATCCAAGAGTAACTATGCCTTTACAACCCTCCAAGTTAAAGTCTTTGCTCAGTCGCTATTTGGCAACCAACTCTTTTGGTTTAGGGATACTTTTTACAAATCAATTCGCCAGCTCCAAAATTTTAGGCACCATGGCGACCAAAATGGTCGCAACTTGGAGGGTTGTTGGAGGGTACACTTGAGGGGTCATTACTTTGCAGGATTTTATTTATGTTACTTTAAGGGTTAACGTAACTGACAGATTGAAAGTCTTTAGTAGATTTCTCTGCCTGTGGCACAAAATCTGCTATTTCACCTCTCCATGCATTTCTGGCCAATTTTTTTTGTTGTTATCTTTGGTGACACAGTACAAAGAAAAGAGGAAATCCTTTAAAGGGCTTTTAGGCAGTCAGTCCTTAGTTTCAGGAGTTCTTAGCCGGCATGAATGGTTAGTGTTACTTTTAGGGAGTGTTGTATTATTTTTAAATAACCTTGAAGGTGTAAAAACACTGTAATGCTATGGCTTGATTACAGTTTGCAGAGACTAGCATGGTGTGACAAGCTGTAAAACCTGTTATTGTATGTCAGACACTGCAAAAGTATAAAATAATGTTTACCTGTAACTTGCAACTGGAATTTTTTTATTGTTATCTACAACTAACTTGACTCATGGGAGCAGAGGTTATTGTTGCAATGCAGTTAGCTTTACTGCGCTTTTCACAAACGCAAACTCTAAAGTTCAAAAGCCGCCTTAACAATTGCATTTTTTGCTGCCATCAATCATAATTATGATCACAAGCAACAAACCTCGAAGCACAGAAACACACAAAACAGATCGAAATCCACTAATCACAGATCACAAAAACCATGACCTTTTGAACCTGTTTAAGTAAAGTTCTGTTTCCTAAGAGGTCCACTAAGATGATTGAGGGCAGCAAAAAAATGCAAATGTCAGTTGGGTTTTGAACTTAGAGTTTGCGTGTTTTTAAAAAGCGCAGTATGGTGCTTTGTCACAAGTATATTGCTCTTGTAGGAGAATTCTGTGATGAAATCATCACTTAGCATCTTTACCCATACACGGTAGAGTTATGAAGATATCAAGCAAATTTCATTATTCAAGGAGCACTATTATCTTTTTAATAATAATAATACTTATATAGTGCTGATATCAATATTGCTATTTTCGTCAGCGCTTGAAAATAAAAATATTTCAAAAAAAAAATACTAAGACTGCATAAAATATACATGCATAAAGTGCAAGAACCTACCAAAAAGAGTTAAAACAATTATGTCAACACTAAAACTATAAAAGTTACCTAGACTACTTAAATCGTAAAAAACTGCATAAAACCTCCTAAAAACGAGATTAAAAAGCACATAAAATCACAAAAAAGTTTTCTGAAATAAAAATGTCTTGAGTGTCTTTTTAAAAGAGGCTACTGAGGGGCTACTGCTAATTGCATAGGGCAATGAATTCCATAGTTGAGGAGCAGCAGCAGCAAAAGATCGATCTTCTAACGTTGTCAAAGTCTTGAATTTCATAGGGTTTAGAAGCAGTGCTGTATCCAGACCATGCGATGGGGTGGGGGGAGCGGTCATCCTGGCCCTTAGATAAGGGGGGGGGACGGTCTCCAAAAAGATTTTTTTCGGCCCCTAGGGGGGATGTGCCACTGGGACCCTGAGACCCTACCTTGTTCGATTTAGGTAAATTTTCTACTCTATAGTAGACTTAACTCCCAAAACCACCCCCTATCCTTGAGTCGACATTTCTCAGAAATAACTGAGTTTGACACTTTCTTTGTTATTAATATGTGTTGCAGGTTAATTTGAATTCCCTTTTTTTTATTATTTAGTGTCAGTGTCAATTCCTGGTTTCTGTAGTCGAGACTAAAATCTTCAAGCACTTGATCAGTTTCCAGGAGAATGGTACTCTCTGACTCACCCTGTGTTAGGAAATCCAAGACAGTCTTGGATTCTGGATTCCAGGCCTTAGATTCTAGATTCCAGGTGTTGGATTCCAATCTTTGTCAATAGAACTTGAATTCTGGATTCCAAGCACTGTCGGGACTCCAGATTCCTTGAGCTGTATTCCGAATTCCACAGTCCAAGATTGTGTTAGGAAATCCAAGACAGTCTTGGATTCTGGATTCCAGGCCTTAGATTCTAGATTCCAGGTGTTGGATTCCAATCTTTGTCAATAGAACTTGCCTTTTTGTGAAATTCTGGATCCCCCCCTCAATGTTAAACTGTTCCACAATTTTTCAAACGTTTTTGTTTTGTCAAGTCATTTGCGTAGAAAACAGCACTGCTTCTTAGGAAAGCAATCTACAAAATCACAGGTAATTTCAAATTTTTTTCCGTCTTCGTGTTTTGTTATTAATTTTTTCCGCGATGGCCAGTTTCCTTCATTTTGAGTCAACCCATTTCCGTTTTAATCGGCTCCTACTTATTAGAAAATCTAATTTTACGATATTGAAAACAACACGGAGAAAGTAATAAAAAGTAATAAAGAAAATGACTTAAAATCATTAAATATTAGGTAAATGGAAAAAAACAAGTTTGTCACAAACCGGACATGCTTGCTCCGCTACAATGATTGAAGAATATCCATATACTTCCTGATAATTAACATAAATATTTAATTTGTCGCTTCAAATTTTAGAAAATAAAACCTTTACTGCAAAGGCAAAACAGTTTTGGGTCTGAAATAACGGTAAAAATTTACACAAAATAAAAATACTAACGAAATAGAAAGGTACTGTTCCGTTGTCACGCACACCTTGCGGACCTATTAATTTTTGCTATGGGTTTCTCAGTATTTCCTCTGATTTTCTTAAAATGTTTAACAGGGTTATATTCGTACCTATGGCTCAGAAAAGAATTTGCAGACCCCTATCTCAAAATTTTCAAACCAGTTTTTATTTATTTTTCCATTTGCCTTGCCCTGGGTGATAGTTCTTGAGGCAAAGAATTGCCGCCTTTAATGAGCAGTTTTACTTTTCATCCGGCCAAAATATTCATCTAAGCCGTTAAGTTTTTTTACGATCAAATAATGGGCCCTCTTTTGTTGGAAGGAGAAAATGAAGGCTATAGTTTCTTTATCGAGAACGAAAAATACCGCACAGAGAAATGACGGCTGCCAGGCCGACAGACGCTACGCGTTGATTAACCCATTGTCTTGATATCGCACTTAATGGGTGCGCCCTTTAAATATTTTTCGCCGAGAAAAGCTTGCTTTAAGACCGCTTGGCCGAGAAAACACCTTTTAATGCGAAGGATTAAAATACTCCTTAAAGAAAAACTCATTGATAAATAATTCTTGACACTTACTAGTTTTTCCTCACTGAAAGGAATACAAGATATATTTCATCAATTTTTTTCGAAGTTTTAGCACGCGAATAATATACCATGCCAGAACGTATCTCTTTTACCAGTGGTACTGATGAGTATACATTCTAACGAGTAATTACGTTTGGAAGCCGGATAATTTCTTTCACCCGTTAATAGCCCTCCATTTTTCCGAGATGTGAAAAAGTCACCTTCTACCTCAGTAATTGCAAGCTGCATCATACTAAAGTCCGGAGTTCATTTGGCCCAAACGTCCAATCTTTTATGCGTCTTCACTTCCAACTAATCTGACAAACTGACTTAATTATAGCGTTCGGCAAAACAAAGGCAAGCTAACATAATTCTCCCGTCATTAAGCCGTATTTTGTCAGGATGAATTGGCTTAGAAATGTAAAAGAAAAACCTTAATGAAGTCTTCCGAGGAAAACAAAAGCCATTCACAGTTTCATTTACTACCGAAAGATTATTTTTCCTTTTCACTGCCGAACGGATTTGTGCGAGGAATTATCATTTTTAGACCAATTTTTGGCTAAATTTAAAAAAGACTGTAATCTCCTACAACACAAAAAATCTATTTGCATCATGGTGGTGTAAATTTCAAGTTCCGTTTTTTATTTTCTTGTTATGGCGCTCGGAGCAAAATTTTCCTCTCATCCAATACCGATTCATTTGATAAGAATCCATTGATTAGGCAGAAAAATAGGAGTTTAAGCCAATAGATGTTTTTTTCGCATAATTACCTTGTAAAGTCTGCGAGAGTCGAAAGCAATTGTTGGACGAACCAAGTTCTAATGAAACATCATTGTCAAGCGTTTCTTTACAATTCCGGCGAAAACAATTAACTTAACAGAGTGATCGTTCTCTTCGAGGAAGAACAAGCGACATAGGATTCAGGTCAATCTTTTTCTCTTTTTATACTTTATCCGGCAAAGTCTCAAGTGCGTCAAGACAGTTTTTTTGCTAAACTGTACGTTTCCGCATTGGTTTCAAGCTAATTACGTCAGTTTTGTTTGGACAAAGGAGCTGTGGAGTTCGCCGACAAATTTTCTTGCTACAGAAGCTGCATTTACAAGATTTCAGTTGTTGACTTGAGCAGTGATGACTCGTCCAAGAAAACGAGCGTACGAAAACTCAGATATTTCATCAACCCGAAGTGTTTCAAAAGATGACTTGATTATTCTCCAACCTGCCTGTAAGCTGCAAGATCTGAAAATTCAGGACACGATTGAAGAGGTACTGAGAACAAATTTATGCGATGTGAGTTTCGCTTCCTGGGACAGCGAAGCTCGATGCGATGCTCTCAGTAAAATTATCCAACAGAAACTATGTGGCATTCAACACCAGTTTTCTGACCTAGCAGTGGTCGTTCTAATAGGTGGTGTGGACGATACAGGAATTGTCAAAGCTTCTCACAAAGTCTGGAAGCCGGAGTATGACAGTTTCGCTTCAGCATGGTACAAAAATGACTCTCTTTTTGCCGTGGGCACCGTCTTTGCTACTTACGCCACAAGAAATATTTGAGGCAAGTGTAAATGACTTTTTATAATACACGTTGATGTTCTAATTTTGACGATACAGTGAAACCCTGATATAACAAACCTCTATATAACGAAGTCCTCGGCATAACGGAAGATTATCTACAGTAATATTGAAAATAAATGGACAAGAACCTCGAAACTTAACAAAACCTCGTTCCCTCGGCCACTCGTACGTCGATCGAGGTTTCCGCTCTGTTTTGTCAAGAAAAATAGTTTGCTGCCTTTTTCAAACACATCAACCAAGATTTTTATCTTCCTGTTTTCCCAAACAGCAAATGATTTTCTGCTTGGCTAGAACCAGCTGAAACCAGATTACTGCTTAGTTCTAGAAATATTACCAATATCTGACTTAAGTTAAAATTCATCGCAGTGCATTTCAAAACCTACAAATGTTCGGCATTAATTATCAAATTTGATAGCGTAAGCGTGTGGTTTTGTTATGTTTAATTTCAATAAACCATGTAATAAATGTACTATTGTAAACAAAACAGTACTTTGGCCATCGAAAAGTTCTTACCATATTTAACTTGAACATTTTTGAAAGACATATTAGTTTAAAGAAGTCCCTGGAGCAAACCAAAAAAATATCGATGTGAATGAATGAATTTTGTGTAATTTTGTCATTTTTCCTTTTTAATCTAGTTTTTTCCCTTGTAAAAATTGTGAATATAAATGGTAAACCTGTTATTCCGTAATGAAAAAATGTATTATTAAAGAAGATAACTGTTAACGGAATGAAACATTTCTGTCATGAGTTGGTGGTTACCTGTGAACTAATGGCCTTAATTTACATGTTTGTATTTCATTACTTTTAAAACCTTGTAAAAGTCCATGTTCTTTGGTCTGTTGGGTTTTAGTGGTTCCGAAAATATCCTTCGTTTTTATTAAATTTTTAGACGGAAATAATCCCTGGATTTTCCTCGATGACGCTGGCAAACATTTGCTGAATCAAAATTAAACTTAGCAAAAATTAAACGTAAGTGTTTCATATACCACAAATCCTTAAAGAAAACTGCAAATCATGACGAAACTGGAGACATACACGACGTTAAATGTATGTTGTTCCGAAAGCGAATTTGGATGCGACAACGTAAAGGTTTTAATTTGTAAAAATTTTTGTCGACATATGTTGCTAAAAAAAAATTCACACCGCGAACGCGTTCAGGTACCACTAAATGTTCCACAGATCGAGGCTTGCCTTGAGTTTTTTTATTTCAAAATGTCTTCAAAGACAACATGTATACGTTGTAGTTAATTATTTATCTCTGGTAATTTTTATTTTTCCTTTGATTCAACTTCATTAGCGTACATTACCATACCCAAAAACATTGAGAAAAACAAAAATTACCTGGGATAAAAAAAAAATCAACTACAACAAATGTATTCTGAAGCATGAAAACAGATTTTTTTGAGAGAGATATATAAACCACTAGCCCTCTCTTAAGTTGAGCGAGGAATTACGATAGCGCGTGTAAAATTGCCACTGGCGAGTAAGGTGACACGCAGAAGAACCAGGATACGTTTTGGCACTGAAATAATGCCCACCTAAGCAGTCTGTGAAAACAACCCCACAAGAAGGAGACCTGTTAGCGCGAGGTCCACTTGAAATAGTCAGATGTGCTATTTTTTAACACAAACTGCGCCACTCTCAACGTCAAAATCTCGCGCGGCACTTGCCATTCGAATTTGCGCTGATTTTCAGAAGATGGGCGATCGTCTAAATTGCGTTTTCTCGTGAGCGCTCTTTGAAATTCCCGCGTTCTTCATATCTCGATATATGTACGATGTGAGCACAGCGAAAGAATAAGCTAAATGTTTTAGAACATTATAATTTCAGATTCCTCCTCAGGCTCTTCGTTTTTCGCATGGCAGAGGCTCGCACGAAACGCGAGTGACTGGTGATGAACTGCAAGTGACCATGGGAAGGGTACAGACGGCAGGCGACGCTCGTTGTCTTCTTCCCGCCTTCCTTTGCGCGCACATTTTCATCGAAAGAGAGGCGTCTGGGTACGAGGCACTTATAATTTTGTATAGAGCGTTTCCACATGACGTCATGTCCGCCATAATTAGTGCCTCAAAACAACTAAAAAGAAGGTTGTTGTTGCTGCTTAATAACATTCGTCGAAAGGTGGCTTAGACGCGTTATAAAGTTAACACAACCTAGTATTCCTTATCGTTTTAGTTTAGCGCACTGACTTTGGTGATTAGGGTTAAGCACTTACTCGAAATGGTAAGCTTCTTTTTAGGGTTAAGGGTGTTGCTATTTATCTTTAAATCAAACCAATTCTCGCCGGGTAATCCTCGGTGACGTAGTGAAGTAGGTGATGGACGGCAGACACTACGCTCTGCGATTCTCAGACTCACGCCTTTCTGACTTTTTTTTATTATTACATTGAAGAGACTTACATCTTCATAGCCATTAGCGGAGCAGAAATTTTAAGAGACTTGAACATTTCGTCTAAGTGTAGTGTCGAGGCAATAAAGAATACTAAAAGTAGGTTGAGTTTGATTGTCTGAGTGAACGTAGTAATGAATAGGACTGTTGTTGTTGACACTGACTGACGTTTCGACAACCTGTGCGGTAGACATGTTCAGAGTCAAAGTGAGTTGATGGTATTATACTATGGTTATTGATCTGATTGGTCAATTACGTCGCGATGTTATCGGGTAGTCTGTCAGTTAGCTGTAATAACATCACAGCTTAACTGCTGTGGAAATCTCGCTTTTATCAGGGGTGAGAAGCTACAGTAGTAGGATTAGAATCGACGAATGGATTACAAACTTCCTTCCTAGAAATCACAGATATCTCCGATCGTCTGGGATGGTCGGGCACAAATCTGGAGAATCGGGAGAGTTTCTATTTTCCCGACGTGTCCCAGATTTCTTCGATGGTCGGCGATCATTCCTGATAAATGAACACTCACATTTGTGTCGTCGGGGACGTCGGTGATTACGTCGGTGATGGATTTCGGTCATTACCAGTCCTCTAAATTGCTAGGCTCCAGTCCCCTGATCACACATTTGTGTACAAGTTTCAATTTTTGGCGCACTATCCATTTCCCGCCAAATTCAATTTCGGGAGAATCTGGGATAGCCTGCGAACAGCAGACGCATTTCCGGTCGTCGTTTCTCTCCCTCCGAAAAATAGGGCTAAATCTGGGACAGACTTCTGGCAATTATCCGATATATCGGCAAAATCCTGGACGGTCGGCAAAAAGTACATCCCCGATCGTCTGGGATTTACCCCACATATGAAAAGTACGCTTGCTGTGATTGGTCAACTAGAAAAACCTCGGTTCGTAACTTACAGTACGGACCTCGAACTCCGTTAGTAAGAGGTACGTAATAATACTCCCATGAAAACAAGTGTCCAGCTTTCAAATAACCGCCGCCGTCAGTGAAACAAGCAGCGTATTTGAGGCGTAGAAAAAAATTAATAAGCGCTATTGCGCTTCTTCCAATAAATACGTTATAAAAAATAGGGTAGAAACATAAACGACTGAAATGACTGAATCTCTAAAGATATGATTTTGTAGGATCCAATAACTGGTTTAAAAGCGGCTCCTTACAACTAACATGCATGGCCTCTGTTGACAACTCAAAATGATACTGGAAAAAAAATGGTCTTTTACCGTCATTGACGCAACTAATTCACAATTTTAAATAAAGCTAAAAAAAAGGAGAGAAAAAAGAGAAACACATGAGAATGAGCCAGCACTACCTATTTCCAACCGTTTGCTTTCAGTTACATCCCAATCCGGAAACCATGCATGTGTTTCAGTCAAAACAACCCCATTTATTTTATTTTAATTTTATCCCATTTATTTCTGTTTATTTTTTGTAGATCTCAGCGACAAAGTCGTAGAAAAGTAGAAAGTCTATGTCTTTTCAAGAGATCATTCTCTCTTGGTTTTTTTTAGCATCAAACACCGTGACGCAAGGGAACACGTTTGCATGTGTTTCAAACGCCAGCAGACTTCGTAACATCTGTCAACAACTTAAATTTATTTCAGGTTTGAACATAATTATTCACTAAAAGGTCACGAATGGTATACGGTTGTATTAAAAAAAATGTACAGTAGTAGCTTTAAAATCGTGAATAATGAATTTGAGGCAGAAATATCCTTCCCTTTTTCTTTAAAAAGGGCACATTAAATAACATTGCCCATGAAATTTAAATTGTGGTGCTCAAAACGTTAAATTAAAGTGATCCAAATATAAGATTTTCTTAAATCGCGAAAATTAAGTGTCGCCAAATATGCGCACAGCAAAATCGCGAAATAAACATGTCGCGAAAATTTCTTGTAATAAGGTAGTCATGGCATTACTTAAGCTTTTATGTGTTGATGCAGACTTAGACAACGAATACACAAGCTAGAATACCTTTGTGACTATATCATCGTGTACTTATCTCACCTTTTTCTTCCAAAAGCGCTCAGAGAAAGAATTATGTTTCTGTGAAGGTTGAATGAGTCGCAACTGTTAAGTTTAGTCTCACCTGACAGATGTCAACTTTTTGTGGACTTCCGTGAACGTACACAATCAAACTTTGCAGCACTAGTTCTTGAAACGGAGAAGACTGCATACGTGGCATTTGCATTGCAGGCTATATTTGGGAATGAGATACAGCCGACTTATCGGCGGACGAGTTAAAAAATAATCAAGCTAGATGAGAAAATGGATTTTGCGGCCGACACGGATAAATGACAAGGACTAGGAGGAGGAGTACAAATTATTTTCCCTTCATTGTAGTGGAACTTAATTCTTAGAAAAATAGTTCCTTCATTTTGAAAATAAAGTTTTCTCAATTTTGTAGGACTGATGAATTCGTCACTTAGTCTAGTTTACTGCAATTTTAAGCCAAAGACTCAACGCTGTTAAACGACCCTGTAAACTAGAAAGGATTAGAAAGGATTACATGCACTCATGGAACTGTTTGGAAATGCAGGGCATAAACTCACGGCATCATGGTCTAATTGAGCT